TGCCAGGGTGTTGGTGCATGTTTGAGCCAGCAAAAATCGATTCGGGCTCCAAGTTGGGGAAGACTTGGGAATCTGTCGGAACTGAACAACGAAGCCACGTAGTGTAAAATCGCTGCTGACTGTGCAACACCGGCCTTCTTCTTCGCTCTCCTGTGCAAGAGCTACCTGCAGGTAGACTACGAGCCTCAGTGGCACGGGTGGGGGCTGAGTGGCTGTTCTTCTGTTTGTTGCAATTTTGGACTTACAGGGATGACACGTTGGTGCCTGGCTCTGGACTTTAGGATCCCAGTCTTCTCGAAGTTAGTAAAACCCCCTTTCAATCATTCTTTCGCACCGTTTGCACTCCGCTTCTTCTTGCTAGGATTGGTAGCTCCAGCTCGTCCATCACGGCCAACGCAGAACTTGAACCAAAACTCTGCAGACTCCCAGCGCTTCTTCGTTCCGTCGGCTTCTGGGCACCAGGCCAGTTCGCGACCCTCGAGGCGGTTAGCACCAACGCCTGGGTCTGGAGTCCGGGGGCCAGTGCTAACAACCTCACCAGCTCTTGCCGCAGGTCCTCCCCAACTTCTGACCTATTCCGAGAATCTCTTTCATACCTGCAGTGATGGCATCAGCACTGCCATGGAAGCGCCTTGAAGAACAGGCCCGTTGAGCAGCCGCCCCCATGCTCGCCCATGAGACAGCCGGGATTCAGAGATAATACCGGGCTAGGGCAGGACAGGCTGAATTGGGCTTAGGGGCTCTGGGCTTTCGGTTGGGATGGTTTAGTAGAGGGGATGGTTGAGTACGTGGGGCTCTTCCCCAAGCGGGGCAAACTGAGGAGTGCAGATTGACAATACTGCTGGACCGACATTTGCGAACTTCCTCCAAGGGCCAATTTGCAGGATCGGTTTGGGGGCACTTCAATTCCAACAGCGGTGTAGCAATGCGTCATCCGCCACAAGTTGTGTGCTGCGCGATGTGCACTTTAAAGAGAACTCCGAGCCAAAACACTCGCTGCTGAGGGCTGCGAGTATCTCAAAAAGAGAGCACCAGGCCCCTCGGACTGCTCGGGGCGTTTGTGCACCAAGCCCCTGGTTCTGAGAGAAGGGAGCTCTCGGTTGTTCATCTGGTGCTGGGCCTCCCTGTCATCCCGAGCTCAGACCTGGCAAAGCCTCAAGACCCTGTTTGGGGGCTTCTTGCTTCTTGGCCGGTACCGATAAAGACTGCGATGGCACGGTTGAAGGGCTTCTGGCCTGTGTGAAGGTACCCTATCTTGGCGCTCCTTCTAGGTCGCACTTCAATGTCAAACGTTCACACCTTTCACGGGTACGACCGGGTACGAGTGTATGTTGCAAGCGGATTCGGGCATCGACGGTATGGAGTGATCAAAGACGGACTGCTGTCTCCTACAAGAACTTTGCGCAAATGGCTGCCTGTGCGAAACCGCATCGGCGGAGGGTCAAGGCAATCCAACCCCGTTTTCCCCAAGGCGAAACACAGGAGGGCATTCGAGCTCCTGTTCTTCTGCGGCATCGAAACCCCCAAGCCGACTTGCCGTTGTGGCAAGAGCCCTATTGTTCAGAGATGACAGGCATGTTTCTCAGATTCCGCACGAACCCTGAACCTACTCGAAGCTCCGCCCTTTCAAGGCTCGATGTCTGAACCCCAAAGCCCTCCACAAACTCATTGTGAGCCTGCAATAACTCTACACATTGCCATCCCTTTCCCAAGCCCCTACTTGATCTTCGTTGACCATTGACCCGAACTGTGAGCGTTTTCAACAACAGCCCCCAACCCCAAAGCTACTCCAACTTCAAGTCTCGTTGTGGGATGGCGTGTGCCCGAGGCGGCAGCTCCAGGGTATCCCTCGAAATCTGGTCCCTCTTTAAAAGCCTTTGCATGGCTTCAAACGTGTGTCTACCGCCCCCCCCCCCCCCCCCCCTCCCCACTCCCCCGATGCATAAACTCCCTCTGCCCTACATCGACATATACCCATGTAGCCGCAGAGTGGACCCCAACGGCTAGGTTGATAGGGCGGATGCCTACCGTAAGGGCCTAGTGGCAGCACCACATGAGATATTGATCTTCCGATACAAGCTGATTGGTTTGCACTGCGAAGTATGCCTGGCACGGCCGCTGCTGCTAAGCTGCGGCATGCTTGATGCACCTATCTTCATTGCCCGAACTAACCTTCAAAGGTCCGTTGGGCAGCCTGCCATGGTCTGTGATAGTAAAAGCCACCCACAGGCCTTGACAAATGTGTCCTGTCCATCTTCCAGTGTCTACCTTTGAGACCTCTGGCTCACTTGACTTTTGAAGCCTCCGCTCGAGTTTTACCTGGCGTCGAAGCAAGGGGTCCAGAAGCCAAGACAAGTCCTGTGGATCGCAGGGCAATTATATCTAATTATTCTGCGGACCGAAAATATTTGACCCTGATGCCTTCGCCCGATCGACTCAGCATTCCACACCAGAACATGCTCGAACCGATAAAGGGCTGCCCGACCCTCGAAGAGGCGGACCAAGAAGCAGGAGACGCCCTGCACACGCGACTTCTATTTAAAATTTGGGCTCTGGCAACATGATGCTCTCACCCACAGCAGCTTTGTGTCACTCTCCACGATTTGCTTTGTGGGCCTTCGACCTCATTCTCGCTGAATCCGTGCCTGCACGACGATGAAAAGCGGCAGTCTCTGCAACGAGGTTGGGCACTGCCTGCCCGAAGACACGAGGCCTCCACTCCCCTCTCGGACCCTTCAGGTCCCGAGCCAACTGTTCGAGGCGGAGTGCGATAGAGTACGAGGTGCAGTCAGATTGCGGAACTACCGTAATGCTCGTGCGTCGTCATGCGCCGTGAGCTCGTTACCTATACATGACCCGCATCGCCCGCATTTCGCACTACTAGCAGCTCGAAGTCGAGAACATGCTTCTGCCTTCCTGTTGGCTGATCGGACAACTGAGCTTCGTGCTGCAGCGCTTTGGGCTCTGCTTTTGTGGCCTGGTCGCCGGGCTTGTCACACGAGTTAATGCCTTTCAAACTTGAAGTGCTGCATCCGTGAAGCGGCGAGTACCGTTCATTTCAACCCTTCGGTTATGGCATCGATCTACGCGAGACCAGCAAATCTCTCAAGCGGCTCCGAACCCGTTCATTTTCAACAAGGCTTTCTCCTGTTGTAGACCAATGCATCTAAACGTGGTAGGCATGGCATTTCCCGACGATTCAAAGCCCTGAACAGCGTGCAAGCTTGCACAAGCTCGCTGCAGCTGAGCCTTAAAACCTTTCATAAGGGCGTGGCCGTCAGCACGAAGAGCGGGAAAAAGAGGGCAAACACCCCTGCATCGATGAAGCGCGGACCTGAGATGGTTTGAGCCTCCAGTCCTTGATCATGAACCTGCTTTGAGAGGTACAGCTGACATCGGATTGCAGGGTGTGGATGGGTGTGTGTGTGTGTGTGCGTGCGCTTGCATGGGCTTTCTGAAGCTTCCAACATCGATGTTCTGTTTGGTCCAGCTTGGCGTGAGATTGGGATGAAGGAAAATTGTTACCTTGCTCTCTGCATGATTTTTTGCGATTTGCAGGAGGCATGCGGTCGGGTAGGAGTGGTTCAGATGCATATGCCTGTAGAGTCGTCGAATGTGTGGTGGAGGCTTCGAATAACAGGGCCCCGCACCTAGCAAAAGATCCTGGCGATGCCCATGGGGCTTCTACAGTCACGGCAAGCCTTGTTAGTTCTGCCCGGCATAGCCAACAACCAGCACAGGAGCTTTCCGGCGGCTGCACCCTATGAGTCCAAACTGCATGCTACACAGTGGCGGGAGCATGATTGGCAACTCAGGCTGCGCACAGAACTGTGGCAGCGCATGGATTGTTGCGATTTCGGCAGGCGGAAACGGAGTCGCACCGCAAAATACGTGCGGCTCTGTGGCGGGAGCACAACTGCCAAACTTGGAAAATCCAAACTAACCGAACGGCGGGGGTTCAGACCAGGAGTGGAACAGTGTGGCCATGCCACGATTTTTCAAGACTTCGAGCGATTTACAGGTGCGAGCACGATCTCTCCTTCAAGAGACGCCAATATTTCACACACACACACACACACACGGCACTTGTAACCTAAAAATCCCGTTGTTTCCAACCTGGGAACCTCCAGTGCTACCGTGCTTTTCAAGGGAAAATCCTTGCACTCAGGCCTCTATATGCTTGCAGCCCGGGTCACCCGAGGAGGCGACTCTCTGCAAACCACGAAGTCGAACGGCGAACCCAAAAACGATGACACTTACTTCTGACAGCTTTCCTCGGAGCCCTTATGGGAGCCCTTAGTCCTTGTAGGAGTCCTGAAAAAAGGGGGCCCCTTGCGGGAGCCCTTAAGGCCGGAGCAAAGGACGCTGAGGAAGGAGACCGGAAAGCCGAAGCCAAAGAAATAGAGCCAGTGGCGCTGGCCGGCTTCAAAGGCTTCTGGGTCGGTTCCGGCACGCAGCTTGCAGCAGCTTTCAGGTTCCGGGCTCGAGTTTTCGGGCGCGAGGTGGCCTTCAAGTTCCATGTCTTCGGCTTAGTCCCGAGATTTGACAAGTAGGCTGGCTGGGTGCATGAGCTTGTGCAGAGCCATATCTCAACTGCACAACTGAAGTCGGTGAAAGACCCGGATGCTTGGTGATGCAGGGGAATGCCGCTAAGTGGCAAGACTTCGAACACTTTCAGGCCAACGATGGTCCTCTCTCCGCCATGACGACTCGCAAGAAGGACACCAACTTTAGGAACAACAACACGTCACCAAACTACCACCACCAACGACAACAATAAATATGTAGGGAATCACAGTCATGTCAATGGAGAGCTATCTTCGTTTACGTTCTGCGATGAGAGAGGTGGCTGCATGTGCAGTGACTTTTCGCATGCTAGCCAGCGCATCACCAGACTGATCTCACTCGAAAACTCGAACTCATTAAGCCCATCACCCGACCTCCGAAACCACCGAAGGCCGTAGGCTCTGATGGCCAAATCCCATGGAGGTACTCACATGTCACTTTCTTCTGCACTCCACTGAGCCCACCTCGAAGTAGTCCACCCGCGCGTTTGCTGTCCACCGCTGATGGACCCACCTGTACCTTATGGTCTTTTCTCAAAACTGCCAGTTCATTCCTCCACTGCCTTCTTGAATACTTCTGCCTACCACGCCCGGAAGGCCTCAGGCTAGGACTCGAAGCAGTAGATGGAGGCCATCCAGCAGGAGTGCACGAAGTACAACGCGGGGCCCACGAAGGGGATGTAGTAGAGCTGCGGAGGGGACAGTCTCAGGCTTTTCGGGATGAGAGCGGCTGGGATATACGAGCCCCAAGCTCTGGGTCCGTGACGGGAGACACTCTACTTCGGAATTCCTGTGTTCAAGTGGAGATAAGTGAGAACTGATCGATTGAAACACGTCCACCGCTCGAAAGTCCCAAGGCCCGATCAGGACTAAGACCTCTTTTTGCTTACGACTGGGGCAGACTCAGTCTGAGACCCTTAGACTGTCGCTGCCCTTTGTTCTAGTTTTACGACAGTATTTCATCGCTCGAGGTTCCTGCTACCAGATCAGACGATGAGACCGTATTATGGCTGCCGTTACCATCTTTGCTTGCTCAGCCGAGCATGTCTACAGGATCCATGGACTCGCCACAGAAACCTTGAACATGTACACTCCATGGCAACGCAAGTAGCCTTGAAAGGACTAGGAGTATGAGCATGCAGTTGAAAGGCATTGCAGCTAGTGCCGTTGAGCGAAACTTCAGGTTCTCTACGAATGGCAAGTTCGGCCCTTCGAAAGTGGGGGTTTCCGAAAATAGGGGACCCTAATATAGTACCTAAATAATAGGATCCTTATTATAAGGACCCCTAAATAAGGTACCCCTTATTTTCGGAAACTCCCAAGTGTCAGATCTCCAGGTCTCGGCATGCATCCTTGCAGTGGAGGCACTCACCCCCGAAGCTTGTAGGCGCCATCCACTATTTTTCTGAAGGCCGGAACCGTTCCGAAACTCTTCATCTTTAAGCCGCCTAACCTTGATCCACGAAAATGATCCTGGGAAAGTCGATCACGAGTGTTCGGTAACAGGAAGAGCACACAAAGCCTGGACTGACTGTCTTTTGACATTGGCATTGTCTCGATCATCCGCCGACGAAACCGGTAACCTTGCTATTGCAAGATTGAAACGAAAAACGAAGCTCACTGCATCGTGTCATCTCACGTCCCATTGACCTTCAAGAACGTTCAGCGTCCTCTTCCGGTGCCGCCCAGCGGCATTCGTTTCGTTGTCTGGCTGCAGAACCCACCACGGGCAAGCAGTTGAAAAATCGTGTCGGCCGGGAACTTGCTTTGAGCAGAGAGTTCTGAAGCTTGAGAAGAGGCCGAGCGTAGAAGGCCTGACTGGGAGTAGTGCATCAAGCGTGGAGGCTGCTATGTCACGACTGCATCGAACCAACACTCTGCTCATTGCCCTACAAGCTTCCGGTTCTGTGGCACACAGCTGCAAATAACACCAGAGCTTTCAGCTGCTGCTATCTTTCAAGCCAACACGTATTCAGCGGTGCCAGCACTATGATACAGAGGAGCTAGCCGCGCTAGCCTCTTGGATGTGCCTAAAACGACAGCGGACGCCGCTCACCTACGGGGTGTGGACCCGAGCTCCCACACCAATCCACGGTTTCGACTTCTGCTTCTGTGACTTTGCAATGTGAAACTATTCTCTAAGCGAGTGTTCTCAAAGGGAAGTATTCCTGCGCGGCTTCAAAAGAACATGCCACTCTCCTTTTTGCCTGTTCTGTCTTCGCAGTTGCAGTGGAGGATGTACCTTCCCTTCGATTCTCCGCCCCCAACCGTGAGCTCACCGATGCTATGATACATGGAGTGGCGCTCATCTACCGACAGCCAATATCGGTGGAGGACGTCCGGCACCGGACCTGCGGAAATCCTACTCCCGATCCCGTTTTCAAGAGACCCAAGCAACGCACACCAAACCTAAACAACAGTCAGTGCTGGGATCTGCACGCTTCCCAGGCAGGATTGGCAGACCGACCATCCTGAGTCGAGCGATCTTTCAGGTCGTCCGGGCAAGACATCGCCATGAGCTGAAACAGGTCTACCCATACTAATCCTGGACACACAACAGTTCGTGTTGCAACAGAATGCAGCACTTCTATAATTTATTCCTCCTACGCATTGTGCGGAAAGCTTAACTTTCGCCCCTGCGCTGCAAGAACAGTGCAGAGCTTGGATGTTGGGAAACTGGATCCTTTAACCTACCCAAACCCGACGCAGCTTTGCGCCTCTCGCTGGACAGTGCTGCCGGGTGCTGCAGCGGGGGATGGAAAGGAAGCTCCTTCCGAGGTGACTGCAGGGAGCGTCGCAACAACCATCCAGGTATGTGAGGCAGGCGGCCAAGGAGTTGAACAAAATTTCCAGTCGGAACCGATAGGATCGAAGCATGCTCCAAGAGAAGTGTCATAATAAGCTTGCAGAAATCCATTCGGCCACGCGTGCTGCGTCAGGCGGCGAGTCCCGAAAGACAGCGACCCTCAGCCCTATCTGAAAGCTGGTGCTACGGAGTTTGTGGTACTCGTCATGGTTGAATTGAATCAGTTCGAGCCCTCAACCAGATACCTGACAACAATATCACAACCAAAACCGAAAGGCCAAACTCCAAGTAGCGCCGCCGAACTCTGATATGCTCACGCGACACACCCGTCCTGCAGCTCCGCCCCTTCCATGCGTGCTCACCTTAGCTTAAGGATGTAAACAGTGCGGGCTTTTTCTGCTTCACTAGGCTCCTCGAGAGTGTGAAACTTGCTAGAAGACGGTACGGTACAGTCATCTCGTAACCGATAGCCCGCTACAGCATCCCGCTAACGCCCATGGGGGAAGCTGCAGCGTCACGACTTTCTCTCCTTCGGTACAGACACTGTGTACCGAATGCCATCGAAGCGAACGTGGAAAAAAGCGCGTCTGGCTAATGGCGCTTGGCTGTTCATGAGCCCGCAATAGCCCGCAGGCTTCGACGATTCGATGGGAGGAATGCTCGACCCTCTGGATAACAACCATCTATTCCCGGCCATGAAAATGCGTTAACTCGAAGGGGGGAGGCAGCAGAACATGTCTCGAGTCTTTGACATTGGACGTACGAAGACTGGCACTAAGGTTCGATCTCCGGAGCTTGTGTCCTTCACCCCTTGCAGGACCCAAGTGCCGCAGGCTTACAATCAATTGTCTTACCGGTGGCACATGCTAACGCGTCACTGTGGCTTCCACTGCTCTTGAACTCTGCACGATGCCTCCGAATGTCTGAGTGGAAGGCCATGATCTCATGGTCCGCATCGAACTCGGGCCTTGGCTCTGCACTCTACCAGTCTGGGCTGGTGGCCGAAGACTTCAAAACTTAAGTGGTCGGGCCGTCGTGGTAGTAGCGGTGACAGAGCAGCAGCTGCAGCAGCAATTGTCCGTCATGGGTGGAGAAACTCCCCTGGGCCCTGGCCGCTGTGTCGCGACTTCTGACCTGCCGGGTGGAGCCTCCCCGAGCAGCTGCCACAGCTGCTGCGCCTGAAAAGAGAACGCTTGAGGCTGGCAGCCGGCTTGGGTTGGGGCTGTGTGCTCCGAAAGCTGGCTTGAAAGAGCCATGAATCGGCATTGAAACTCGCATGCACTGCGAGAAGCCGGGTGCGTGGCGTCCTCGCCCTGTTGCATGACAAGAAGACTGCACCTAAGTTCATGACTTTTTTTCTTCAGTCTCTTTCTTCGTCAACACGAGGTTTGCATGGATTAGGCCCAAACATCTGCTGCATTCTGCTGCAACGCCAGATCTCTGTGTCAGCTCACTTTAAGCATGCTGGGCTCGGATGGCGAACTTGAAACGTTTGAGCGACAAGAGAAATTGTGCAACCAGCTGATTTCTAAAGAATACCATGCTCCACGTGCAAAGAGGTCAAACTCGTCATGCGATGATGATGATGATGATGATGCTGCCGCTGCTGATGATGAACATGATGAACAATCTCAAGAGCCTTGAATATGGTTCTATGACAATTCCTTTTTCTTGAGAGTGGCGGTAGTAGTAGTAGTAGTAGTAGTAGTAGTAGTAGTAGCACTCGTAGTAGTGGTAGTGGTAGTGGTAGTGGTAGTGGTAGTGGTAGTGGTGGTGGTAGTAATAGTAGTAGTAGTAGTCTCAGTACTAGTAGTAGTAGTAGTAGTAGTAGTAGTAGTAGTAGTAGTAGTAGCAGTAGCAGTAGCAGTACAGTAGCAGCAGAAGTAGTGGTGGTAGTAGTAGTAGTAGTAGTGGTAGTAGTAGTAGTAGTAGTAGTAGTAGTAGTAGTAGGTGGTAGTAGTAGTAGTAGTAGTAGTAGTAGTAGTATTAGTCGTAATCGTAGTCGTAGTAGTAGTAGAAGAAGTAGTAGTAGTGGTGGTAGTAGCAGTAGCAGTAG